TATTCCTATTCAATTTACTGTGACATTCCTCCTATCCAGGCATTCTTAACCTTTGGCCCATGACACCTACCCACCCAGGCCTGTGTGGATAAAACTCAGGGGGTTCTAAATTACATCTTTTTATCTACTAATCTTTCATCTAAATTGAATATTTCCTTTATTTATGAATGTTTATGTAGTTTATTATGAATAAACTACAGTGGCAGTAGCAGTGCTGATGCCTTTGTCATCAGTAGAAATCATAGACACTTTCAACTCTTGTTACAGATGTTGCTGATCTTCTGAAGAAATCACTTACCAGTCATCAGTTAGAAATGATGGTGACAAATCTAATTATTTAATGTGTTAAAAGTGAAGCATAGGTTTTAATTGTTTTGCATTTTAGAATTATTCTAATACCTATGAAGTATAACTGGTTATTTTATGTGTCTATGTATTTTAACTCATGCCTTTTAACTTCTTATTTTGAGAAGACTTTTCCCTTTATGTATTTGAAGTAATTGTTCTGAGATGAAATCTGTCCCTGGGCTTCCCTGACCCCGACTCAGCCAGCGTCAGTGGTGACTCAGGCTTGGGACACAGGCTCTGCCACATTGGGCTATGTGACCTGGGACAAAGAACTGCACCTCTGTTTCAACATCTGTCTGATGCTGTCTGATTCTGTGGCATCTGGAGTATTTTTGAAGCTCTTGAAGTACTCTGAATCAGGATTTGCAGTGATCAATACTTGCAACAGGAAAAACACTAAATGCCATTTTCCTTTGATTTAATAAATACTTTACTAATTTTCCAGTGACCTCTACTTTGAGTTTTTCCAGCTTGTTGAATCACTGATTTTTATTTCCCAATGTGGAGAAGGAGAGTAACACACTTGAGGATAAATCAACAAGTAATTATTAAGCACCTCCTAGAATGGCAAGGCTGCTTCAGAAGCCTGCCTTCTCTCCTCCCTGTTTCTGCTTCTCACAATAGGATGGAGCTGTCTCAGAAGAGAACACCAGTTAGTTTATCCTGGCTAATCTTTTCTTCCCAGCTTGAAAATGACCCTCCCATGGGACTAGTGAATAAGCTAAAGCCTCTTTTGACAAGAGAAGCTTAAAAGTAACTTTACTCCTACAGTCCTGGCTGCAAAACAGCTTGTTTTAATGTGAGCAAAACTGGATAGTCTTAAAAATTCCCTTGATTTAGGGTCACACTTTCATATTTTAGGTATAGTTGGATACAGGTCCGACAATGCTCATTGTAGATACAAAGGCCAGGTTAGACCCCGGTTCGATTCCTGGGTCAGAAAGATCCACTGGAGAAGAGACAGGCTACCCACTCCAGTATTCTTGGGCTTCCCTGGCGACTTAGCTGGTAAAGGATCCACCTGCAGTGTGAGACCTGAGTTCGATCCCTGGGTTGGGAAGATCCCTTGGAGAAGGGATAGGCTACCCACTCCAGTATTCTGGCCCAGAGAATTTCATGGACTGTATAGTCCATGGGGTCGCAAAGAGCCAGACATGACTGAGTGACTTTCACTTTAGTAGATAAAAGGCAAAGGCAGGGCATCATGGCGTTTCAGCACAGAAAGAGGCCTTGGGTATGACCCCCTTCAGATTGGAAGTCCCCTGGATTGCCTGAGTTAGGTGCTATTTCTCTGCTCCTACAGACCCTGGACTTCCCATCTACGTCATAGGGCAGAGGTTTCTCAGTGTCCAGCAGCCAGTAGAGTGTCTGGCGCATAGGGTCAGTAATTGTTGATAGTAAAGTTTGGAGTACATGTGACTGTATTGAATCATGGATCCAACCGGGGTGTCTCTCCAGAGATAGAGGAAGTAAACCTAAGTGGCTGATGGAGAAAGTCAGAGAGGGTCTGAGGTCAGCCAGTAAACTTGAGCTGCCATGATTCTGCTCACCACTGGCTTCTCAGCACAGCACTGGCCTCTCCTACCCAGGCAGAAGCAGGAAAGTCAACAGGAACCTGCATGGGGAAATGTCCTGGGGGCATTTATCCTTCTAGCTGATATTTTACGTAATATTAATAGTTTGTCATTCTTAATCCCCTAAATACTGCTTCCTTCTTAAACATAGTTTTGCTAGGTCTCAGAGCTCCTCTTTGAAGAGTAAGGCAATGTTCTTAGCATTAGCCACACAGGGAGATCATGTGAGGGGTGCACTGTTGATACCTCACTTCAGGAAGAAACTTGCAGTTCAGCTGCAAGGAGTGTAGTTGCTGATAGCCATCAGTAGCAGTGCTGACGGGACTCAGGACTGGGTTCTTCAGGTAGCCCCCAGCCTATGAGTGAGCGTGGCAGCGTTGCCAGGACCTGGCAATTCTTGCCCGATAGAGTCTCTTTTACAAACTTTTTGCCCCAGAGCTCCCTGTTGGGTTGGCTTCCACTTTTCCAGCTCTGCATTACAGCCTGAGGCTCTTCTGACCAGTCCTGCAGCCTCCCTGCTTTGATTTTGCAAGTGTCAGATGTGCACTGCAGTCTGAAGACATTCTTGGTCCAAGTCTTTCTTTTCTTTTTTATCTTTCACAGGCCTTAACTCCCAATAAACTGCTAGTTGTATATCCAACTCCAGCTTGACATCTGCTTCCTAGAGGACCAAGCTGACCTACCTGGGGAGTTTTAAAAAGTACCGATGCCCCCAGAAACTTTTATTAAATTGGTCTAGGGTGCAGCCTGGGTGAATCCAATAAGCAGCCCAAGTCAAGGGCCACTGGAATAGAAGAAAAGTTCTGGAGCAGAAGTTCCAAGTGTTTATTAAGTTAGAAAAGGATCTTCTTTCTCACAAGTCACTAGGGCTTCAACAAATCACTTCTTTAGGTCCTTTTCAAATAAAATGGGCCCGCCCTTTCATACCATAGGTGCCAATCGGTAACCCTCCAACTCCTTCCTGCAATGGTGGGCCATTAACACAAACAACAGTTATGGAAGGAAGCTGGCATTTTGAGAGGCACCTGCCAACTTCCTGATATTCCATATGTTGCTTGTCTGTAACCCATGTCAGATACTCAGTGTTCACCTACAGACTCATATCCTTGTGTGTGCATGCATGCGTGCTCAGTCAGTCATTTCCGATTCTTTGTGATGCTATGGACTACAGCCCACCAGGCTCTTCTGTCCATGGGGTTCTCCAGACAAGAATACTGGAGTGGATTGCCATCCCCTCCTCCAGGGGATCTTTCCGACCCAGAGATCAAATCTGAGTTTCCTACATCTCTTGCATTGCGGGCAGATTTCTTTACCAATGAGCCACTGGGGAAGCCCCTCATATCCTCAGAAAAGCCCAGATAAAAGTAGAAGAAAGGTAGAATTTAGGGAAAAGTTCAGCAGCGTTGACCCGATCATTTTGGTATTGACATGATCCTTTGACACTTTTCTCTAGTCAGCAAGTTTCTCTCTAGATTTGACCCTTGGTGTGTGGAACCTTGTCCTGTGATTCTTAAGTATTTCTTCTGTATGTGCCACCTTCTCCATCAGGCCATCCAATAAGCTCCTTGAGCACAAGTATCCCATCCAGCCAAGTCCACAAACCCAGCTAGCAGAGCAGGCCTAGCGCAAAGCAGGTCTACAGGAAGGTTTAAAATAAAGGAACAAAGGTAGCAAGAGCCGAGAGATTGTATAACCAGAATTGTTATAGAAAAACAAGATATTACCTTCACCCCAGTACTCACAACTCAGTATTTCACAAGTCATTTTTATTTATAAACATTTTTGTTGTATTTATTCCTCAACACTTTTATAGCCATTACTGTTGTGTCAGGCACTGTTGAAAGTGATTTACAAATATTAAACTTATTTAATTCTCTAATAGCCTTTGCCTACCTGCAGGAGTTCAGCAAGGGAAGGATATGGGAGGCTCTGGGATGGCCTGGAAGGGTTTGTAGGAATGGAAAAGAGGATTTCATCTGCTCTTTAAAGATTGTGTAGAAATAGGCAAGAAGACAGTAAGGAGGGAACTCATGGGACAGATAGGTATGGGATTGAGAATATTTACTACTCTTTGGGTCGGGGGTGGTGGTGTGGGGAACAGGCAGGGACCCTCTGCCCAGGTTGCTGAGACTGGGGCAGGTGGCAAACCGATAGCTATGAGCCAAGGGCACCAAACATCTGGTGCTGGGTTTTGGCCTATTTCCTGATGTGCCATAAACATTCCCATTGATATATGTTAATCCACCTGAACAAAGGGGCCCGTGCCTCTCAGAGGACCAAATGGCACCATTAGGATTGGCAATACGTGATAATAGTCACCTCGCCTGCGGCTGGAAAGATCATCCAAATTCAACCTTGGGGAGCCTGGCTATCTCCTGCAGCACCCATGTCAAATTGTCGCCCCTCACCTACTCCTTTTCTTTGCTTGTCATGCTAAATAACCCCACTGCTACTCTTCATACAACTGAGCTTCAAGATTCTTTATCACCCTGTTCATCCCCTCTAACTGTGCTCTGGCCTAGACATTTTAGCTCTTACACAGTGCGCCCAATCCTGCAGATAAAGTTGACCAGCCAAGAGAGTAGTGCTGTCATCTTCTTCATTCCAGATGTCATGTTGTAAATGAAACCTAGGATCTCAGTCCCCCTCCCCCCCTTTAAAGAGTCTAAATTCAACTCCCTATTAACAAATATATGTTTTATTCACATGTGTGCTCAGTCCTACACTGTGCCTGATTCTGAACACTTAGGAAGAGTTGGTTATAAAAGAAGTAATGGGAGTCTTAGCATAAAACCACCCTTTTACCTGGAGGCTGTGAAACAACCAGGGCGAGAAAAGCTGACAGGAGGTGTTCTCACCCTGTCCTTTCTTCTGCCACATTTTCTTCTCTTGTCACAGGAAGACCCACAACACCTGGAAATGAGGCAGCACATCCCCTAAGATCTGGGTGGAGAAGATGAACAACTTAAGCTCCTGGCAGGACGTGGGCTTCCCAGCAGGCCTCTGACAAGGTGCTGGCCCCCAGAGCCTGCGGCTGGAAAGATCATCCAAATTCAACCTTGGGGAGCCTGGCTATCTCCTGCAGCACCCATGTCAAATTGTCGCCCCTCACCTACTCCTTTTCTTTGCTTGTCATGCTAAATAACCCCACTGCTACTCTTCATACAACTGAGCTTCAAGATTCTTTATCACCCTGTTCATCCCCTCTAACTGTGCTCTGGCCTAGACATTTTAGCTCTTACACAGTGCGCCCAATCCTGCAGATAAAGTTGACCAGCCAAGAGAGTAGTGCTGTCATCTTCTTCATTCCAGATGTCATGTTGTAAATGAAACCTAGGATCGCAGCCCCCCTCCCCCCCTTTAAAGAGTCTAAATTCAACTCCCTATTAACAAATATATGTTTTATTCACATGTGTGCTCAGTCCTACACTGTGCCTGATTCTGAACACTTAGGAAGAGTTGGTTATAAAAGAAGTAATGGGAGTCTTAGCATAAAACCACCCTTTTACCTGGAGGCTGTGAAACAACCAGGGCGAGAAAAGCTGACAGGAGGTGTTCTCACCCTGTCCTTTCTTCTGCCACATTTTCTTCTCTTGTCACAGGAAGACCCACAACACCTGGAAATGAGGCAGCACATCCCCTAAGATCTGGGTGGAGAAGATGAACAACTTAAGCTCCTGGCAGGACGTGGGCTTCCCAGCAGGCCTCTGACAAGGTGCTGGCCCCCAGGGCCCTATCTCTTTCCTGTCTCAGGAACTCCAACATGACCAGAAAGATCTTCACAAACACCAGGGAGCGGTGGAGGCAGCAGAATGTCAACAGTGCCTTTGCCAAGCTGAGGAAGCTCATCCCCACTCACCCTCCGGACAAGAAGCTGAGCAAAAATGAAACACTTCGCCTGGCCATGAGGTATATCAACTTCCTGGTGAAGGTCTTGGGAGAGCAGAGCCTACAGCAAACAGGAGTGGCCGCTCCAGGAAACATTCTGGGCCTCTTCCCCCAAGGACCCCACCTGCCAGACAGGACTCTTCTTGGTGACTACCAGGTTCCTTCACCCGGCTCAAGCCACCACATTCCATAATAGTGGGGCTCTGGCTGTTGTGACCCCAGGCAGCACTGGTTCAGAAGTCACTAGCTGTCAACAGCCTTTTTGCAAGTACCAGAGTCAGCATGGTGAATAATTTGTGAGGCATGAATTCAAGCTTCATAGGAGGTATCTCAGGGTCAGCTGCAGAATGCTAAAAGGAGGCAAAAAAGGGAGGTGGCCGTACATCCCCTTCCCTTGGGGCTTCAGGCAGAGCAGCCTGTATCTGTCGATTTTATAAATCCAGGTTCCTGCATAAGACGTTGTTTTTGGGGAAAAAAAGACCCTTACGTTAAAAACTGGTTTGAAAATCACTGTTTTACGTAATATGTTTTCAGTTGTAAGAAGAGTTTCCTTATAATGGATCGCAGATGGATGAGTAGAAAATGCCACCCTCCAAACATATTTTAAAGTTCGTTCTGAAAAATGAGGCATATTTGATCAAGGGTGAACAGCATAAGACAAATGAAAAGATAGCCCTTGCAGAAACCAGCCTGGAGACTTGTGGGGAATCTGTGGATAAAAGACCCTTCTGACACAAGAGGACCACAAGAAGGCAGAAGATACGTGCAGGAGAGCTCTGCATCCTCTATCTCTATGGAAATGTGAGGTGTCACTTGCATTGGACCACGAGTATATGTGTTATCGCTAAAGACAAATGGTGGATTATACCTATGAGAGGAAAGGACGTGATAATTTGTGAGAGTTCATGGTTTTCTTAGGAAAAGCAGTTAACTAAAATAGTTTTCCTAATCCTTTAGTTTCACATGTCAGGTATTGAAAACTTTTAATTCAGCATTAGTTCCTGATGATTTAAGACCTGTAAAATTCAAATAGAATGATGGAAATCTAAATATTACCATTCAACAGCTCATTTAACAGAGAGCTTAACAAAAGATTCAGAGTAGACAATCGGAGTGTAACACCAGACTCAAATGAATGATGGGTGAGTGACTTGTCTTCCCTGCTGGGGAGCATTAGCTCAGTCTTACACTGGGAAGGGCGGTGCCCACAAAAGGATGAACAGCGTGGATCTGGCAGAACTCACAACTGTATGCCACCGTGATGATGCTTGGATTCAAAAATGAATCCCATAGTTAAGCACAGAATACAAATAATGTCATTTGATTGTCTCTGGAACATTTTACTTCCCAAAGTTCTTGCCAGAACATTAGTTTTAAAACCTTCTGAACTACAGGAAGGAAATTGATAGGCTTGAGATTATGTATACACAATAGAAGAATTGAAATTTTCTGCCTCTCTAGAAAGAAGGTATTCAATTTATGAAAGGCTGAAATGAGCCTCTTTGGTTTGGTGATCAGAAGAAATCTGGATGAGGCATTCTCAAAATAGCGAGTTCATAATGTCATTAAACTCGCCACAGCATTCATACGTATGGCACAATACATTTATCAAAACAATGCATTTGGGACTTCTCTGGTGGTAGTTAAGACTCTGCACTTCCAATGCAGGGGGCGTGGGATTCCTGGTCAGGGTACTAAGATCCCACATGCCGTGTTAGTTAGTTAATTCAGTCACTCAGTCATGTCTGNAAAAACAAAACAAAACAAAAAACATGCTGTGTAGCATGGCCAAAAAAAATAAAAATAAATAACAAGAATAATAAAATAATTTTTAAAAAAAGAAACAGTGCATTTTTGTGTGTAGGTCCTTTCTTTAAACTGCATTCAATAGACATCCCCACAGACCCAGAGTAGTACAGAGAAACACATAAACACAGAAACCAGGGGATTCTTCAAATTTGCATTTCTTTCTCATGAGTTTTTGTGTTCTCATGAGCTTATGTGGACTTAAATTCATCCCCAAACTACTACGTGATAGCACATCTCAAAACTCTGGTGATGGTTGTCAATTGAGTAATATTGCTTATTCTCTCATCTGGCATTAAATCACATTAACACTTTTGACAGTCTTTTTGTATTGTGCTGTGCATCAGTCATATTTGACTCTTTACAACCCCATGGACCATAGCCCATCAGGTTTCTCTGTCCATGGGGTTTTCCCAGCAAAAATACTGGAATGGGTTGCTATGTCCTCCTCTGGGGGGTCTTTCCACCTCAGGGATTGAACCTGGGTCTGTCTCCTGCATTGCCAGTGGATTCTTTACCACTGAGCCACAAGTAGCCTCATTTTGAACTGTAGCTGAGGAAGGCAGAGAAGACCTCTTTGTGTGAACACAGGATTTTACTGCTCTTCTCAGAGTGAGTGCACTTCTCTGCTATTGGGGCCTTGTCTGCTGTGCACAGGGGGCCTTTCCACTGAAATGTAACTGAGTGCCGCTGAAAAGTCATGAGGAGATTGAGTATCATTCAATTAAATGAGGGGAACAGTTTTTTAAAGAAACTCTGCAGGAAATTCCTATGATAAGTGAATAAACATTTAATATATTACTTAATGTAATTAATCTCTTAAATTAGTTCTTTTGCAAGTTGGGTCTTGGTCTGTCAAGTTGTATTAGGTTAAAGTGACTGTCAAAAGGAATTGTAGGTACCTGTGTACCAGAAGCTTGGCAAGGTACACATGAGACTGGAAGCTAATTCTAAACTCACTCCACAGCTTTCCTTGGTGTCCTGTATTTTCAGCTTGGTGACTGCAACAGTAAGAATTTATGGTTCAAGTGAATTATAGTTCACCCATGGAACATCTCTTTATGGATCATTTGAACCCAACAGAAAAATTTAGACCGATTATATCATCTATGCTTCTCTATTACTTGTTCTGCTATGGACACCGCTGAAAGCTTCCGGAAACCAAGTATAACAGGTCCATTTATTTATATAGATCGTTAGATTGGCTAGTTCTACTCCTCACTTTACAGAGGAGATAACAGTCCAGAGGGTTTTGAAGTAACTTTGTAGAGGTCACATGGACAGTTAGTGGAAACCCAGGACATAGTGTAAGATCTCCTGACCCAGCATCCAGTCTATTCAGCCATGAAGGATTTTAGGATTGGAAATGGACAAGCATCTTATTATTAGGCTCATCTCTTAGCAATAATGTTCAGTGATCTTCTTCATATGCCTTTTAATTGAAATTGAATCAGTGTGCTTTGTAGAATGTGATTAGAGGTACCAACCAAAGATTTTATTTGTTGATGTTTTGTGAGTTTTTAATCATTGATTCTAATTTGCTATTTAACTATTTATTTATTGAAAATAAATTATTTAAGAAAAGAAATTGTTATTTTTTTTTTCATTTTAGAAAATATTTCACAAATTTACTAAGCACAGCCTCCATCTCTCCACCCTCACAATGACTGTTCTGGCTTTGAACCCCACTCCTTCTGTTGTCTCTAGTCTAATAAAAACATAGCATTCCCTGATCAGCCCCTCCTTTTCCTTCACTTTCACACAACTTCCTAATTGTCTTTCTCAAACCACAACTACAGCCACCCCCAGCTATCAAACCTTCAGCGTCTCGTCCACCAGACTGAGACAGATACTGTGTCCCAGCAAACCAGGCCCTCTGTAGCCTGGCTCAGTGTACCCTTCCTTTCACCTTCCACAGTTGCCTGAATGTATCAGACGTGCTAAGGAAACTGCTTCACTTGATGGTCCCCAAACACTCTCCACTGTTTGATACCTCCAGTTTTACTCTTGTGAGTCTCTCTGCTTGCACTAAATTCCATTTTCTAAAATCCTTCAGGACTGATCTTAAATACCACTCCTTCAGGAAGCTTGACTCATCTTAAACACCATCTTACATGAAGTCCTCCTAGATTTCCACCACTCAATATAGTCTCTTCTTTTGTAGAATACTCTTATTGCTTTAAGACTCTTGCTTCCTCTTCCCTGCATTAGAGACATCTTGTGTATATTCTGTCCCCAGCAACAAGATCTCCTTGAGGGCCGTGACAATTTATAACACTGAATCCTCACAACAGCCCTGCCAGTGACTTTACTTTCAAAATGAGAAAACTAGGTCAAGACTGGCTCCATTAAGAATATTCCTCTAGCCTCTCTTAAAAGATAACACTGAAATGTAACTTGAAAGAATTCACCGGCAGTCCAGAGATTAATACTCAGCTTTTCACTGAGTAATGGCCTGGGTTCCATTCCTGGTCGAAGAACTAAGATCCCACAAGCCTCACTGTGCAACCAAAAAAAGAAAAGAAAATGCAACTTTGCATCTTGAACAAGCTGAATTTCCCTGAGAAATACAAAGTCTAAAGCTCTTTTTAAAAGTTTGTTTCTCAAAATTTTCCTTTCAACAAGGACTTTGCAGCACCTGCCTGATGAGGTTTCACCACCTAAGGATGGCTTGAGATGACCCAAACATATGTAAGTTATACACAACAGGCTTTGTCCTTAAGAGGCTAAAGGATGAAAGGAACCAGGAGAATGGACAGCTTAACTCCTGACCCACAGACCAAAGGTTAGCTGAAAGTCACATCCTTAAATAAAAAGGTCAAAGATAAGGAAGGAATCTAAGAGCCCAATGGCAATGCAAAGAGGGGATTTAAAGTGGCAGGTGCTAGGAAGGAATGCCAAGGGGCGAGTGTGGCTAAAGGATTATGGGAAGCCAGGGTGTGGCCTCCTAAACACAGTCTCCCTTCTGAGACTGTTAGAGCTTGCTATAAACTGGGAAACTTTCTGTTCTATTTCCTCTTTGTTGCTAATGACCTATCACTAGCATTAAAATCACTAGGTTTAAAAATTTTTTCTAGATTTTAAAAAGCACTAGATTTTTACATAAACCTTAGGTTTGTAATCTATCAAATAACGTTTAAGAATTTAATTTCCAGAGCTCAAGGGGGTAGTTGAACAAGGCAAGCTGTAGAATTGCCTTGTCTGGATAATTTTAAAAATTAGGATTATCCAATATGTTCATACGCTTAAACCTAAGTAACTCTCCTTCTAGGAAGCTATCATAAAGAAGTAATCAGAATTATAGTCAAAGGATTATCTGTGTGGGTATCTATTTCAGAGTAATTTACAATGTAAATAAAAATAAAATAAATTTATAACAGTAAGAGTCAGAGCCAAGATTTGCTGAACATATTTGCCTACAATATGCTAGGCACTGTGACAAGAGCTTCTAGCATATCAGCTCACCTAATCTTCATAACAATTTATATTGTTACTATAATATCAATTATATGCTTTGTTCTTATTTCACAGATGACAAAACTGAAATTTAGGAGATGATGATTTTTTAAAGGATGAGTTTTTTAAGTTTTTATTTTATATTAGAGTTTAGTTGATTAACAATGTTGTATTAGCAATGGAATATTACTCGGCTATAAAAAGGAATGCATTTGGGTCGATTCTAATGAGGCTGGTGAACCTAGAGCCTACTATACAGAGTGGAGTAAATCAGAAAGAGAAAGACAAATATCGTATATTAGTGCATATATATGAATCTATAAAGATGGTACCGATGAGCCTACTTGCAGGGCAGCAAAGGAGATGCAGACATAAAGAACAGACCTTTGATCATAGTGGGGGACGGGGAGGAGATGACTTGAGAGAATAGTCCTGAAACATATACATGACCATATGTAAAATAGATGGCCAGTAGGAATTCGCTGTATGATGCAGGGATCCCAAAGCCAGTGCTATGACAACCTAGAGGGGTGGGAGGGGGAGCGAGCTCTCAGAGGGAGGGGACGTGTGTGTGCCTGTGGCTGATTCATGTTGATATGTGGCAGAAACCAGCACAATATTGTAATTATCCTCTGATCGAAAATAAAATAAAAGTTAAATGATGTGTTAGTTTCAGGTGCACAACAAAGTGATTGTTATACATGTATCTATTCTTTTTCAAATTCTTTCCCCACTTAGGTTATTACAGACTATTGAGCAGAGTTCCTGTGCTTATACGGTAGATCCTTGTTGGTTATGTTTTTTTTTGGCTGCATCACATGATATGTGGACCTTCCCTCACCAGGGATCTTGTGCTCCTTTCATCGAAAGTGTGGAGGCTTAACCACTGGCCCACCAGGGAAGTCTTGGTTATCTATTTGAAACATAGCAGTTTGCATATGTCAATCCCGAATTCCCAATCTCCCCTCACCCCAACCCTTCTCTCCTGGTAACCATAAATTAGTTCTCTAAGTCTGTGAGCCTGTTTCTGTTTTGTAAGTAAGTTCATTTGTATGATTTTTTTTTTTTTTAGGTTCCCCATATAAGCAATTTCACATGATATTTGGTCTTTCTCATCTGACTTACTTCACTTAGTATGATACCCTCCAAATCCATCTATGTTGCTGCAAATGGCATTATTTCATTCTTTTTAATGGCTGAGTAATATTCCATCATATATATATTATATATATAATATATATATTACCACATCTTTATTCATTCACCTGTGGATGACGTAGAGATTGCTTCCATGTCTTGGCTATTTTATACAGTGCTGCAGTGAACACTGGGGTGCATGTATCGTTTCAAACCATGTTTTTCTCTGGGTGTGTGCCTAGGAGTGGGATTGCTGGATCGTATGGTAGTTCTATT